AATGTAGGTCGACAAGTCCTGATTTGGGACAGTGTGATTATCCCAATCTTTAGTGATAGACTATAGGTAATATATGTCGGAATCAATACGAATGAAGACTTTATTCACTTGTTTCTATGTTCCATCTTTTCAGTTAACTGCCAATTTAATTCTATAAGGTATGGTAACCAAGATCAATACATATCTATGTCAGTTCCTACGTTGTTTGATATGAAGCCATCCATTTTCAAAACAACACGTTAACTATCTATATTGTAGTTTACTGAACTTCCAGTGCATTTCTACAACTTTGAATAAAAGACATTAGAACATTTATGTGTATGGCTTTATGTGAGATTATAGAATTTTTTAAGAATTTTTAGCATTCTTCTACCCAAAATAATTCTGGAAGAAATGTCACTTTGAAACATAAAAAAATATATTTTTAGCCTGTAGATAAATGGTTATTCCTGGGTTGACAAAAATCTTTAGTTGATTCAGATAATAAACTAGTACACTTAAAATATTCAATTCATCTATAATTGTTTGAGCCTTCTTATCTTTACTTAAAGTGTTCAGTATTTTATCAAAAAATATGTTAATTTGAACTAAATCTTTTTTTAAGTTAGCTTTCTTGAGTAAATGTATTCTTGTTCAGTTTCCTTTAAAAGTGGATAGCTTTCATTTGTAATATATGTGATAAGAAAGAGCGATTTCTTAGAAACTGAACAGCTGAAACAAATGAGTCGGAATTCAATATTTCCAGTATAGTGTTAGCAATATATTTTATTTATTTATTTTAACACATAAATATTGGTACAAGGAGGCACCAAATACATATGCGCCACACAGATCTCATTTGATATGTGTGAGGGCTGTGATACTTCCCGGGTGCCTAAACCGGAGCAGGTGACTTTCTTAGAGGGCCACACCCCAAGCCTTCGACCTGAAGTCCCGATCCATAAGGCAGTTGAGCGACGTAAGGAGATGCAGTCCCATGGTAGCCGGTGACCAACAATTGGTTCACACGTCATTTGTTCCTTCAGGATACTGAAGCCAGCCCATGTGCACCATTGGTTTGGAATCAGGGTTTTTCAACCTTTTCTAGCTGGACTTTCTGTGTCCACCAACCCGGTTAAAGCACCAGACATTCGCTTTTCATCCTTTCAATTTCGTAAACAAAACCTCCGCCACGAGAAGGCAGTGAGTAGAACTTCCCTGGCAGAGGCTGTATACGCGTGACCGTGTGGGAGTATTTCGAGAGGGGGGCGAACCCACCCCGCTCTCGGCCGTACCAGGGCATTTGGGGACCATATATATCAATATATCAAGACTACTTAAGACCACTACTTATATATTTCTTAATGTTGAATATTTTTGAAGATAAACAGAGTAATGTTTTTAGCAGTAACAATTTCCATAACGCTATCAGTGTTACTAACACAGTCATAAGTATTGGTTTCAAACAGTATACGTTACTGACGACTCCTTGCGAAATGAGATTACATTGCAGCTATGATTGTTTTCAGTATGATTTGAGTCTACATATCTCAAATGTATCTGTGTAATAGATGAGCATAAAGTTTACTAATCTTACATTCCAGAATTGTTTTAGACATAACATAAAAACTGATCATACCAACTACAGATTGTTAGATAACTGACACATGTTTTTGTGTTTTCGGTTATTATCAATGTGTCATTGGCACTTTAAAATTATGATAGTTCAGTTCCAAATATAACCCATAATAATGTACAATGTAGATCAAAACGGAAAGTTGAGAAGAGTATGAACAAAGTTTTAAATAGATAAACATGAGATTATTTTTCGGACCCTAAAGAAGTGGCTTAAACTGAATTAAGAAACATCAGAAAATCTAATTTTTCTACTCATTGGAATATCACAAATATATTATTTTTATTTAACACAATCTACCCTATGCTTAATTTATTTGAAATGATCAAGTCAAGCCTTGGTCATGATACTTATCAATAAAGACGATTATGTTCATGTGTGTCTTGAAAATTAGTTATAACTTCGTTTAACCTATCAGGTAAATGTGTTGTGAATAAACATAAATAACCACAATAAAAAATGCCACATGAAGGATAAATTCATACGAGAGTTACTTAAGAATGTTCAGATTTATGGGATGGGTAACCATGAACTGTGAACTGCATTCAGTAACGTACATTCAACAGCATGATTAATACTTCTGAATCAAATTTGCTGTACGAAGATATAAAAAGCACGATTATTATATAATATATGCATGATTTTACTTGATTACACATTTTGTTCTTAATTTAAATACAACACATCTGTATGTGACTACAACCCTTTTCTGTCTTTAAGCGCCAGTTTATGTACAACTGCTAGACTACGTTGTAGGAAAATCTAAGATTTTCTGTATCATTCAATATATGAATCAGTTTTAATTGTCCCAGTATATCTTACTTCCTCCAGACATGTTTGCTAGTTCATTTAAAATTTAAAGTTACTGAACCACTTAGAGGACATAATCTTCCATACATTTAAAAGGACCAAAGACGATGAATTCATGAAAAACATTATGTAGTCGTTTGAAACTTATAAAAAGGTAACCATTAAACTATAAAATATCGTAACCCACATGCCTGTCTTTTTCAACTGAACAGTACGTTATATCCACCATGATTTTCTGGGAAATGCTAACTTTGCAGACATATTAACCAATATTTTACCTTATGGAAAACCATAAACGTAATTTAAGCATTGTTACATCGTCATTTAAGATGCTTGGAAACTACAATTTTTATCAACCCTCAAGTAATATATCTGTTTTCATAGCCTAAAAAGTTACCAAAATGGTTGGTAAATTAAGTTTTGTTTTCTTAGAATTCAAAGGAAGTTTGTGTCATTGACAAAGTGTACAGACTACGAAATCAGCTTGCGCCCAAAAATGTAATCACTTCATTTAATAGTTCATCATGACTTCTTAAGATGCTTCAAGTATTTAGGCAAAATAATTCGTCACATAAGCATATCCATAAGGTAGACGCCAAAAGCCGATATCTTGTGCTTCTTTATTAAGTGCTGTATTTACTTTTGAGCGGACACTTATTAGAGACCTCCTTACTTGGTTTTCGTATACTTAATAATGAGTGATAAAATAGTGGAACTATTACAGGTAAACATGATACCAAGTTAACTAATCACCATTTAATTATTTACGCTCTACGAAACAGTTACGAAATGAGGAATACTGTCATCTGCCTGAATGAAATTAAAACACAGTTTCACGGAACAACTTCAAAATATTTTGTCAAAACACTATATCACAGCAATGAACTTTTTATGTTTGTACTTCCAATGAGAGAGTAAATTGTAAGCTATGTTAGTTCTCTATGATGATGTAAACGTTGGCTATAAAATCACAAATTGTTTAAAGTCATATCTCAGATTAAAAGCTAGTATATATTACTATCACAGCTACTAGATAATCACTTGTAACAACAATTTGATATCACTTGTTTCAGTGTTTTCATCTACCTACCTAAAATAAAAAAGCTTGAAAACATAAAACCACTACTTTACAGAGTAGTGAAGATCTTTTGAAAATATCGCTCTTTAGACAATTAAGCTTTGGATTATAAAAAATGTGACTTTCTGTGTATTTAAGCAGTATTTAGACAAAAAATTAAATACGATATTGATGTGCGGTCAGTGAAAATGATCGTGATTAGCCACCGAATGTAAACTAAAAGACAAGACTTATTAGTTATCTATTCTGTGATTTTCTTTCCTTTAAAAATTTCTACCATAGAAGCACTGAATGCGGCCGGTTGTAATTACGTTAAACAAACTACTGTCTCGTTTGTACTCTAATACGTCACATTTGATTGTAAATCGTGTGTCTAGTGGAATAGAATTCATTTTGTGCACAAGTTATCAAGGGAGTATGCAATCTAGTGGTAGCACAATCGCGATCGCTGGTTGCATTACCGAATGATAACATTATACAGTAATAATCAATAAGCAGTTTCACCTCCCCTCGTTATATTAGGCGTTCGTTTAGAACAGTGTTTGTCTTAAACTAGATAGTTTCTTCATAATTTGAGATGTTGAGCATTTCCTTCACAGATTACAGAACTGAAAATATGAAGACACATGTCGTACATCATCTGCCAATATTTTCAAATACATATATATGACATTGTCTTTTCCTGACAAAAGGTTTAGAACTTTGTTTTAAATATCACAGAAGGATTAAATTAAATAACTAGTCTCGCTGTGTCTGAATGAAATTATAGTGGATATGAGTGGCTGATGGTCATAACGATATTAGGTGTTGTTAATACATACTCAACCTAAAAGACCCTCTAATTATTCCGTTTCCCAAACATTTTCGCTGTTCTAACAAATTTTTTGAAATAAAATACAGCATGTTAGCCTAAATCTTAAAATGTTAGCATACAGTTTATGTGAAATTCATAATTTTCCAAACTATCAGATATACATTAATAAGAAAATAGAATGCATACATCCATTTCAATTAGTTTTCTATTGTGGTTCTGTGATATAACAAGTGTCTTACAATTATGGTATGATAAATGGAACACAAAAAAGAAATTCCTGATGTATTGTTGTGGTAAAACATGCTTTTAAAGTAAACCAAGATGAAAAGCTATGGCAAAAGCATTCAAAGAGTGGAACGACATTCAAAAAACCGAAAATGCATCTTAAAAAGAGACCTAAGGAACTGAAGCGGACCTATCCGTCATCCAGTTTTGTACTATAGAATGCGACTAACACAATAAAAAAACTTTGCATCAAGAAGAGCATGAGTTGGAGAATTAATTGTCTCATATAACTAAAACCAGTCAATGACTACAGATAATAATCGACTGCCGAATGAGATAACTGAAATACTAACTAATGATTCGCCGAAACTAAAAAACGTCAGCACCAATATCCCTGTAAATGTTTAATTTAAAACACCAAAAACATGTTTAAGGACATTCCACAAAACAGTACCCACCATTTAGTATATGATTGCTTCGCTCACTACCAGAAAACGAAAATGTAACTGATTTTTTTTCTGAATGGCTTGAAAATCGCCTTTCATGTTTTTGTATAGGTGGTAAATCACTTCGTTTAGAAAGACAAGTTGGAAGATCTACTAAAGTATTTGCTTTGCCTTGATGAAGACAAGAGCTGTTCCTGGTAAGACTTGCCTCCTCAATTAATGACTTCAAGTTGTCTTCATGATTATCCATCGAGTATCATTTAATTTTCAGTCATCACATCATCGGAGCAGAAATTAAACGAATTTTCAAAAACACACCTATTTTCAAGGTCATCGGTGGTTCAAATTCAAATGGTTCAAATAGTTGTGGACGGAATAGAAGAAGCTTTCGCTTAACAGGCTTCCGTGTCTAGTAGCAGGCGATCACCAAATCATCCAGGCAGGAACCTAGGTATGTTAACAATAAGAGAAGAAATGAAATTGGTAAATCATAGTGTGATACTGTCCTTGGTCCTTAAGAATAGGTCAAGTGGCCTCTTGAAGGACTCCTGAAAAGTCGCTTGGACTAGCTCGGCCGGCAGCGAATTCCAGCATTTGACAACTCTTAAGGAGTAGAAGTTGTGTCTACAACCCGTCTTGCTATGTTGAGTTAACAGTTTCTGGGTGATACCCCTTAGGTTATTATTCGAACTAAGCTTGAGTAGGTGTTTAAGAGGATGTCCAGAAGTGTTAAAAATACTATAAACCATTAATAAATCACATCTAAGACGCTTATACTCTAATGGGTAAAGGTCTAATGAATGGAGGCGTTCTTCGTAAGGCTTAGATTTGAGTCCTCGAACTGATTTCGTGGCTCGCCGCTGGATACGCTCCAAAATGACCTTGTCCTTTTAGAGTGAGATGGGAGTACTATGTTTCCGTACTCTAAATGGGGACGGATAAAACTATTGGAGATTGTATGGAAAGTTCATCCCTCAAACTGGTCAAAAATGCGCTTCAACGTTATCAGTGCAAGGTTTGCTCGGAAGGCATTTTTGTCACAGTTAGCGTAAGACTTTAAATCATAGGGCACCAGGACTCCTAAATCTTTTTCGACCTGGGATACTATTAGAGAGGAGTTTCTTTAGTTGTAACTGTAGTTTGCGACATGTTGCAGATGAACTACTTTACACTTTGAAGTGTTAAACGTAAGTCCGTTATCGTCTGCCCAACTTTGAAGTCGAGTCAGATCCTCCTGAAGTGCTTGTGTATCGTCTTGGTTGCGTATCTCTCTCCAAAGTTTCACGTCGTCGGCAAAAAGTAATAAGTCTGACGTAACCTGTTGAGGAAGATCATTTATGTAGATCAAGAAGAGAAGAGGCCCTAATACTGAGCCCTGGGGGACTCCACTAGGACATTTCATCGCCGGAGATAAGGTGAAATTAACCCTAACCTTAAAGTGTCGATTTTCTAGGTGTGAAGTAAGCCAATCGATTAGAGATGGTTTGATACCTAGTCGTTTGAGCTTGTTGATAAGACACAAGTGGTTAACTTTATCAAAAGCTTTTGAGAAGTCAAGGTATATGATATCAACCTTTCCCTTGCGATCGAGGATGCTTGTCCATCTGTCCACCGCAGTCAGCAGGTTGGTTATACAAGAGTAACCCTTCCTGAAACCATGCTGTTGGGGTGAGAAGAAATGTAAGGACAGTAGATAGTCGTTTAAACCATCGCGTATCAGGGACTCCATGAGTTTTGAAGGTAATGACAGAAGAGCCACAGGCCGATAACTTGAAGGTTCATTGCGTCGACCCCCTTTGAAAATTGGTGTGATGTGAGCCAACTTCCAATTTTCCGGTAGTTTGCCTCGTCTTAGCGAGTGTGAAAACATCACGCTAAGCGGTGTTGCCAGGATTGAGGCTGCTTTCCTCAGTATGGCAGAATGAACCATATCCGGGCCAGGAGAAGTATCTAGTCCTAAGTGCTGCAGTTTCCGGAACACCAAGTCAGCGCTTAGGTCCACTTCGGAAAGCCCTGTGGAATTACAGGTGAAACTGTCGTCAATAGAGTTGATGTCAGCCGGCTGAAATGTTTGAGAGTAATGTGCCGCCAGAAGGTTAGCGGCATCACCATCGTTGTTGGTTGGGCCGTTAAGACCTAGCAGTTGAGAAACTCCTGTTTCGGTTTGACGAAGAGAGGCTGCATAACGAAATAGGCTTCTAGGGTTAGAGGCAAATTTTTCCATAAGCTTTGACTGGTACTGAAACCTGTCTTCTCTTATAGCCTTCGTGCATATGTTCCTGATATGTTTATATTGCCTATACGCTCCGTCGTTATTAGTTCGTTTGTAATCCGCCCAACAATGCCTTTTGCGGCTTAGCAGGCGAAGGGTACGGTTCTTGATTACTGTAGGTGGCTTGCAGCTTTTGGGAACCGTTTGAGGAACTGAATGGTTTGTAGCACATAAGAGCGTGTGCAGTAAGAAGTCCCAGTGACCGTCCACATCAAGTTGATGGTGAACATCCCAAACCACCTGTTGTAGATAGTCATATAGAGCTGGCACATTCAGCCGTTTTAAATTCCAACGCCAATTATTGTTGGGACACCTTAGCTTAGTTTTGATGATGTGAATTTGATGAGGTGAATTTGCGCGAGTAAACGCAGTGTAATGAAGTAACAGAAGCCGGCTACATGAAAACACCATATTAGCATATGCTTTAAGGATAAGAACGAGGATTTTCATTATGCGTGATTGTAATCAACTGTAACCAGGACACACACATACAATCAACGTGCAAAGTACGCTAAGTAAAAATTGAGCTCAACGGATAATTTTCCAGTCAGTAAAATGAAGTTCCAAAAAGAAATTCTTTGATACGTAAAATCGCATCACTACATAAATTGTTTCATTACTTCCGAAAAACGAATTAAAAATTAACACTGCTGAACGATATTGTTTGGGTTTGACCGATTTCACAAAGTTGTTAGTAATAGCGATAGGAGAATAAGATTGATATCTCTTGTAGGGCCAGTGAAATGTCACTGGGCCCTAGCCAAATCATCTGGCAGTTGGAACACTGAATGTCGAACAGATCATCGCTCCCCGCCAAAGTCAAGTACAACCAACGCGCATTAGTTAATCGTATGCCATGGACTGGCCCATGCGGCAGTGTTCTTACTTTCGCTTGTATCTACTTTAACTAATATATTTCTGTCATAACGTCCTTTGTGTTGTGCAGTCTTCAAAGCATCTATAGTACCTTGTTACGTCAATGGGGGTAGTCCGCGTAAGGTGCTGACAACGGGGTGTGACTTCGACGTTAGTTGGTCCGTCACACCATTTACGTCGAACTCGAGTAGGCCTCCAATCATTTCGATATAGATCATCTACGTTGGTAATCTACACTCTCATGTAAAACGTCTTCCGTCCCTTCTTGTTTATTGGAATGAATATTGACTTGCCACTGATGTTGGCTGTTAAATGTTAGGCTGCAACAGAAGAAAACAGAACATGAACAAACATCCCACTGACAAGCTCAGTAAGTTAAAACTTAGGGTTTATTGGCTGCTTAAGTCATACACGTCTTTCACCAAACAGATCATTAGGTGTCAGACAATTTACAAAACGTTATCAAGATCAAGAACAACTAACATGGACTGATCAATTGCACGCCACAGATTGGTGCACAGAATTGGCTTAACCATGTATATCTCTAGCCTTCAATGCATTTCCTCAGTCAGATCAGCTTCAGTTTTATTTTGGAAAGGGCAGGAGGCTTGATGGCCTGTGTTAGTCTTGACAATGGTAGTCTCTCGGCTGACCCAACTTTCTTTTGAAAGAGTGAACGGATGGAGCTCCAACCAGTTGCTGAGGTAATGAATTCCACTCGTTGATGATTCGATGGGAAAGTCGATAGTCAGCTGACAAGTAATTTGCTCTTGGCTTGTGAACGTTTTTAGTGTCCTCGTATATTCTCTATTTTAGAAGACAAGAGAAGCGAGGGCATATCACGTGCGAATTTATCACTAAGCAATTTGAAAACTGTAATCAAGTCGCCTCTAGTTCTACGATATGACAAAGGGAATAGGTTTAGCTTGGCCAGTCTAGCATCATAGAGGAGCTTCGCTGTTTCGGCACTCAGCTTAGTTGCTGTTCTCTAAACCTTTTCCAAAAGCTCACTGTCTTTGTTTAGGCAAGAACTATCCACTTGTATGCAGTACTGAAGTTTAAAACGCACGAACACTGTATACAAAGTCAAAAACGTCTTATCGTCGACATGACTAAAAGCCCTACTTATTGACCATGAAGTACGAAAACTTTTGGTGTCTATTGCACGGCAGTGTGCATTAGTCCTTAAGTCTCGGCTAACGATGACTCCTAAGTCATTATGTGTTTGTATAACAGGTAGCTCAGTGTTATTCATCGTGTATGTATCTGTACCTTGATGACCGATATGCATCACAACACACTTGGAAGTACTAATCGGCATCTGACAGATTTGAGACCATTCAGATAATTTCTACAGGTCATTTTGGAGTTCTGAGCTATCACTCTTACATCGTATCGTTCCCCGTATCTTGACATCCTTAATGGTCACACTGCCCAGTGTGTGTGTGGGATTTGTATGCGCTGACGGGAAGGGCGGTTCTATGGTATATACATTGCTAAAGTAGTTCGAGAACACTTGAGCCTTACCAAAGTCGTTCTCCACTAACGATGATGTCGTACTGTCTCCCCATAGTGCAGGAATATTTCCTCTTCTTTTTACCCTTTGGTCTATATATGAATACAAACGTTTAGGACATTCTATGGGTTCCTTGACAATTTTCATTTCGTACAATCTTATAGAGGGTCGAGAACAGGTATTCCGAGCTTTTCGATACTGAGATTTTTTCTCATCAGTCCCCAGTAACCTAAACCTATCCCACACTTTTCTTCTCTTATGGAGAAGGATGCGAACCCCTCTACTGAACCGTGGTGGAGAGTTTTTGAGACCCCTTGGTATAGTCCAAGGGATATGGGGTGTGACAAGTTTTAAGTGGAAATTTCGAAATGCGTCCCAAGCCATTTCAATTGAGGACTCTGGGTCTATTGTTCAATTTGCTAACGATGCTGAGTGCATGATATCTAGTATGTTTGCTTTCCAGACGCTGTGTCTGGATTGAGATGACACGTGCTTGTGATTGACAATTATATGGAAGTCAAAGTTTAAAACCGCATGATCACTTTTACCTAGGGGTGGCATGTAATTGAAGTTCATAATGTCATCCTCATTATGAGTCAGTATAAAATCCAGTAAAAGTTATTCAAAGTCTGGGTCGTACCTATTCGCTTCTTTCACATGTTGC